CTTTTGAGGTTCTGGATGAAGACAGCTGCTCAGACCACCACTTTGTGCAGAGCACAATTCAGTGCCCGGCGCCACAATTCCTACGGCCCGAGACGAGTCACATCTCAACAAGGAACTACTGCAGGAGGAGATCAAGAACATTCGTCTGGACCTTCCAGCAGTCTTTGCAACCACACCGGACATCGATACCTTTGTAACGCAGTTGACAGCGATGCTGCAGGATGCTGTGCACAGAGCTACTCGGTACCACCGGCACACGCAGCCTGTCTTTACCGTGTGGAACGACAGACTGGCAGAATCCGGTCTGCACTGAACAAGGTCCGTCGCAAACTGAGGCAGACACAGAACCAGCTCACCCACACCATCCTGGCGGTCACTGCCAAGGAGCTGCGGAAAAGATACCGCAACGAAATATACGCGGCAAAGGTGGAAGCATGGCGGACCTTTGTTAGCAAGAAGAGCGCGTGGGGCAAGCCCTACCGCGTGCTCAAGAACAAACGAGCTAACAAAGGAGTTCCCATGCTGACTAAGCCAGATGGTAGCAGGTGTGTCTCGCCTCAAGAATCCCATCAATCGCTACTGGAGAGCAAGTTTGGGACGGACACCTGTATGCGGCCTGACATCAATCACCCACTGCCAGAAGGACCAGCTCCATCTGTCACAGCTGAGCAACTTGCCGGATCATTCGTACACTGGACAACAGGAAAGCTCCTGGGCCGGACAATATCCCAAACTGTGTGCTGAAGCTGCTTCACCGCTTCCATCCTGGGATACTGCCAGCCCTGTTCACCGCCTGCCTCACCTCCGGACACTTCCCACTACCATGGAAGCGTGGCCGCGTAGTGTTTCATCCCAAAGCCACAGAAGGATCCAACACAGGCTGACTCGTATCGCCCTATTACACTGCTGTGTGGTCTGGGTAAGCTACTCGAGGTGGTTCTGAACCAGGAGCTGGTTCAACACCTCGAGTCAGAAAAGCTGCTGCACGATGCCCAGTATGGTTTCCGCCAACACCGAGGGACAGAGGATGCCGTGCACGATGCTTTGGACAAGATTGCCGACTGCCGCGCTGAATACTGCTACACCGCTGCGGTCTCCTTCGATATCCGGGGAGCTTTTGACAACGCTACGTGGAAGGCAATCCTCAATGCTCCTCCACTACACAACGCGCCAGGGCACATCCAACGCTGCATGGCATCGTACTTCCACGACCGGGTTGTAACATGCGAGGGTGCAGAAGCGCACCTCACCCGGGGATGTCCACAAGGGTCGGTGCTGGGCCCCACAATGTGGAACCTAGTACACGATGGTGTGATCCGGGCCCTGCTGCCAACACACCCCCGCGTGACATGCTACGCAGACGACACCCTGGTGATTGTCGGCGGCCACACCAGCCACAGGTGGAAGAGGCGATAGTGGAGTGCATTGAGAGTGTGTCGCAGCTGGTCGGAGAGAACGGGTTAGCGCTTAACACAGGCAAGACGGATGTTCTATGCTTTGTAGACTGGCGCATCCCGGCTGGCACACCAGCGGACGAGCATGGTTGGCCATCAGTCGAGGTGGACGGCGTTGCTGTGAAGACGAGTACATCCATTCGCTATCTGGGAGTGTACCTGGACAACGCTGGACGATGGGACACCCACTTCAACGAGATGATGCAGCGGTGCAAGGCGGCCCTGGGACCGCTGACAGCGCTGTGCAGGCGAACGTTTGGCTACAGTAATGCGGCGCGAAGAGTGATGGTGCAGGGAGCTATTTACAGTCACCTGATGTACTGCAGCAGCGTGTGGTATCACCGAATGACAGTGAAGTCGTACCGGCATGCGGTGCAGATGGTTCAACGCCGGTGCGACATCATGTGCAGCCGGCTATATTCACGACGAGCGCCTCTGCGGCTGCAATAATCAACAACATGCCGCCTCTGGACCTGAAGATTACAGCGCGAAGTATTCAGTGGCTGGTGAAGAGGGAGCGCGGTGTTCCATTGTGGGAACCATTTGCTCGCATCACAGAGTACCCGCCACCGAGAAAGTGGCTCGCTCCGGTGTGGTCAACTTGGCAACAGCGGTGGCATAGCAGCAGTACGGGAAGGTGGACAAGAGATCTTTTTCCATCTGTCGAGTCGAGGCAGCGTGCGCCTGTGCCGAACATAACGTTCTGGCTTGGGCAAGCGCTCAGCGGTCACGGAGTATTTGCATCGTATCTTTTCAGGTTCAAAAGGCGAGACTCACCACTTTGCCCTTGCGGTCTGGTGATGAGGAACGGCACAACACGTTTTCCGGTTCTGCAGACTACATGCGGAGAACCGTCCGATCAATTGGTGCGCGCTGAAGGAAGAACACTTTGAATACCTGACCAACGTCGTCCGACGGTTGTGGAGAACGGAGAATCCGGACCAGACTTGGATGTCATGGATCGATACGCACAGCCTCGAGATAACCCCCTTAATCCAGTTAAATAGAAACCTGTAAGCGACAGCCGGCTGTCAGTTTTCCGCCAAAAGACCCAGTGGGTGAACGGCGGAGGTGGCAGTCGGCCATCCTCTTTTGAATTTTCCGCCCAACAGCGTTTGTTGTAAAATTCGCAATTGTAATAAGTTTAATATTGTACGTTTTTGCTCTCCGGAGCAGTGCCTGCCCGAGTGGAGCCCACCTGCACGTGGTCCCCCCCGCGCACCCCTCCGTCTCCACCCTATTTGGCATTTGGGTGGGACATTGCACAAGAGGGGTGGCCAAGCGGCGATGAAGCTCGGTGCAGAGACAAAAAAAAAAAAAAAAAAAAAAAAAAGGGGTGAGAGGAGCGGGAGGGGAAGAGAGGGGCGGGGGGCTGAAGAGAGGGTGGGAGGGGAAGATAGAGGTGGGAGGTTGAAGAGGGGGCGCGGTGGTGAAGGGAGGTGGAGGGGTGGTGGGAGGGGTAAGGGAGGGCGAGCGGGAGGGGAAGGAGGGACGAGAGGGTGGCGGGAGGGGAGTGGGAAGGAGGGGGAGGTGGAGAGAGGGCGCGAGGGGTATGAGGGTGTGGGGGGGAGTTTGTATATCCGAATTTTCAACTTTGTGAGTTAAGAGGAAACAAACGACCAGTAGAGATGAAATTTATGCTGAACAAGTAAAATAGGTCAGTGAATTGAATTTGATATCGATTAGGATTTGCTGCAGGATCTTCTATTGCAAGGAATTACACACAATTGAAATAGAAGTTGAAGGTGGCCCCATAAAATTTGATAGGAGTTTGGTGATGTTCTGTTTCATGGTTGTCGAGGAATAGCAAAATTTTTGAATTTCTGATGATTTTGATTAAATGGATTCGATTAAATCCATCTCTCATCATTCCCGAGGAAAACCTGCTTCTCTACCGCAGGCACTGCAGGAGAATTTTTTCAAGTTTCAATTGATATCATTTAGTTGCTAAGTAAAGCGGTCATGTTTCAAAGAAAAGAATCAAAATTGAATGGGGATGCGCTGCAGGATCTCTCATCACATGAACTTTTATGAAATTGATATGGAAGTTCAAGTGTGGCCCTTGCAGTGCAGAAGAAGTTTGGTGATGATCTGTTTTGTGGTTGCTAAGAAATCGGCGGAATGAGTTTTGATTTTCAATGGTTTCGTTGGATTCAATACCCGAAGATGCGAGCGGAGGTCAACACAGATGCGTTTGTCCAATAGTAAATTCATCGACCACCAAGTGCTGTCAAGCGCGGCGATCGACGTCTTCCAGCTTGATATTGAAGTTGTTGATTACCACCCTGCGACGGTGAGCTTTGAGTCAATGATCAGGGTACGGACTTCAATACAAGAATTTGTACAACGGTTTTTTGCCCAAGCTTGACCTCTCCTGATAGTTCGATAGTAGGGCACGGGAGGCAGCATGTACAGACGATGATTTTTTCTTATCCCCACTTTGATCATCAAAGTGGGGATAAGAAAAATCATCGTCTGTACATGCTGCCTCCCGTGCCCTACTATCGAACTATCAGGAGAGGTCAAGCTTGGGCAAAAAACCGTGTACAAATTCTTGTATTGAAGTCCGTACCCCCTGATCATTGACTCAAGCTCACCGTCGCAGGTGGTAATCACAACTTCAATATCAAGCTGGAAGACGTCGATCGCCGCGCTTGACAGCACTTGGTGGTCGATGAATTTTACTATTGGACAAACGCATCTGTTGTTGACCTCCGCTCGCATCTTCGGGTTATTGAATCCAACGAACCATTGAAATTTCAAACTCATTCCGCCGATTTCTTAGCAACCACAAAACAGATCATCACCAAACTTCTTTCTGCACTGCAAGGGCCACACTTGAACTTCCATATCAATTTCATAAAGTTCATGTGATGAGAGATCCTGCAGCGCATCCCCATTCAATTTGATTCTTTTCTTTGAACATGACCGCTTTACTTAGCACTAATGATATCATTTGAACTTGAAAAAATTCTCCTGCAGTGCCTGCGGTAGAGAAGCAGGTTTTCCTCGGGAATGATGAGATGGATTTAATCGAATCCATTTAATCAAATCATCAGAAATTCAAAATTCTTGCCTATTCCTCGACACCATGAAACAGAACATCACCAAACTCCTATCAAATTTTTATGGGGCCACCCTTCAACTTCTATTTCAATTGTGTGTAATTCCTTGCAATAGAAGATCCTGCAGCAAATCCTAATCGATTATCAAATTCAATTCACTGACCTATTTTACTTGTTCAGCATAAATTTCATCTCTACTGGTCGTTTGTTTCCTCTTAACTCACAAGTTGAAAATTCGGATATACAAACTCCCCCCCCACACCCTCATACCCCTCGCGCCCTCTCTCCACCTCCCCCTCCTTCCCACTCCCCTCCCGCCACCCTCTCGTCCCTCCTTCCCCTCCCGCTCGCCCCTCCCTTACCCCTCCCACCACTCCCTCCACCCTCCCTTCACCACCGCGCCCCCCTCTCAACCTCCCACCTCTATCTTCCCCCTCCCACCTCTCTTCAGCCCCCCGCCCCTCTCTTCCCCCTCCCCGCTCCTCTCACCCCTTTTTTTTTTTTTTTTTTTTTTTTTGTCTCTGCACCGAGCTTCATCGCCGCTTGGCCACCCCTCTTGTGCAATGTCCCACCCAAATGCCAAATAGGGTGGAGACGGAGGGGTGCGCGGGGGGACCACGTGCAGGTGGGCTCCACTCGGGCAGGCACTGCTCCGGAGAGCAAAAACGTACAATATTAAACTTATTACAATTGCGAATTTTACAACAAACGCTGTTGGGCGGAAAATTCAAAGAGGATGGCCGACTGCCACCCTCCGCCGTTCACCCACTGGGTCTTTTGGCGGAAACTGACAGCCGCTGTCGCTTACAGGTTTCTATTTAACTGGATTAAGGGGGGTTATCTCGAGGCTGTGCGTATCGATCCATGACATCCAAGTCTTGGTCCGGATTCTCCGTTCTCCACAACCGTCGGACGACGTTGGTCAGGTATTCAAAGTGTTCTTCCTTCAGCGCGCACCATTGATCGGACGGTTCTCCGCATGTAGTCTGCAGAACCGGAAAACGTGTTGTGCCGTTTCCTCATCACCAGACCCGCAAGGGCAAAGTGGTGAGTCTCGCCTTTTGAACCTGAAAAGATACGATGCAAATACTCCGTGACCGCTGAGCGCTTGCCCAAGCCAGAACGTTATGTTCGGCACAGGCGCACGCTGCCTCGACTCGACAGATGGAAAAAGATCTCTTGTCCACCTTCCCGTACTGCTGCTATGCCACCGCTGTTGCCAAGTTGACCACACCGGAGCGAGCCACTTTCTCGGTGGCGGGTACTCTGTGATGCGAGCAAATGGTTCCCACAATGGAACACCGCGCTCCCTCTTCACCAGCCACTGGATACTTCGCGCTGTAATCTTCAGGTCCAGAGGCGGCATGTTGTTGATTATTGCAGCCGCAGAGGCGCTCGTCGTTGAATATAGCCGGCTGCACATGATGTCGCACCGGCGTTGAACCATCTGCACCGCATGCCGGTACGACTTCACTGTCATTCGGTGATACCACACGCTGCTGCAGTACATCAGGTGACTGTAAATAGCTCCCTGCACCATCACTCTTCGCGCCG